AACTAATTACCTCGTTGTGAATGGGGGCGCTTCATCAGTGGTACTCGGGCTCATATATACATACTCCGTACAATTGTATTAGTAGGAGACTATATCCCTGGATTCGATTTGTTATCAAATGTTATTTAAAAATTCCAAACCTAAGATTATATTATCATAGTAATGTTATAATATAATCATTTAAAAAAATTAATTACCAGCATTTTCTGCTTAAAAATATTCCTGTATTACACACATTGCATGTTTCAAATTATACAATTTTGCAAACAAAGTGATTTATAAAAATTTCAATTTATTTAGTAATTCTATGACCGTAGCCAGGTGATTGAGAGATTTTATTCTATCACATATTAACCAGGATATGATTTCGCTGTTACCTATATAAAATTGTTGCATTGAGAGAATCGTCTATGACAATTTTCTTTCTTTCTTCCCCATTTTCCAAGATTTCCAAAAATAATACACATTTGTCATATTTGACTGCTGATGCCCAATTGGGGGTCTCTTGACCATTTTCACATTATTATGTAAATCAACAAAACTAAATGGCACACTCTATAGTTACGTCCTCCATTGTTCGCGAAAGTACAAAATTCGTATACACAATTCTTAAATGTTACATACAATTAATTTTTTAATTTACTATACACAAGCCTGTACAGTCGTCAAATTAAGTTCTGGGAGTAACTAGACGTTTGTTGCTAGAGGTTGGGTTGGGTCGTTCATTTCGATCCCACTCTCCCATGCAACCCAACCACCTTACCAGAAAACGTCTAGTTACTCCCAGTACTTAATTCCCCCACTACTGCCATTCAGTAAACCGACCGAAGTGCCACCAATAAACACCTCATGACCCCGACTATAGTCTTGCTTCGGAAAACGTTAGTTCGGCCTCCTGGTCTCTATTCTTCATGGATTCCCCCCTCATAGGCACTTTCCGTCACTCTACGCCATTATCGACACTCTCATTCGCTCCCTGTTTTTACTCACACGTACGTCCTCGGCGTCTTGCCACTCCCTGCCTTACTCACAGGTACGGCCGCAAAATTAGTTCACGCGCCATCGCTACGAAATTTTGCGGTTGAAGATTCTCCATAAGCGCTGGCAATCTCCCCTATAATCTCTGTTTCGAAGGGATAACCAACTAAGAGGGCGCCACCTTCAACAAGTGGTATTTAAGGTATGATACAGGGAGGTATGGTGAAGCTTTGATGTCGCCGACACCGAGACAGGGGACAAGTTCCAATGGAAGCCACGCGCGGCACTGTTGCGTCCCTTCCCCTCACGCGGATTAGATCTCCCACCACACGCCGATTTTACGTCGCGAGTTCAAATCCCCGTCAAATCAATTTTTTTTTTCATGAGAGAGAAATAGTATATTTCGTAACGAGTGCAAAAAAGTGGTTTTTGGCGAGTGGGAGGTTTCTATCCGGAGCCAAAAACCACTTTTTTCCCGAGTTACGAACAAAATTTTTCATCACAATGTGTCGGAAAGTTACTTCTCCGATACAGCGTGATGAAAATAAAATGTTGTGGTCAATCGAGAGGAACAGGAATAAAAAAAGTTGAGATGAAAACTATATGATTCTCAGCAAATAGTTCCATGGGTCGAGCGATAAAGATTGACTGAGAGTCATGTCGACTAGACGATTGAAATACTAATTAGAAGAAAGAATAATTAACATCAGAAGTCCATTCAATTAATTATTCCTCTTCTCTTCAGTGAAGCTTAATAGGGAAGAATTGGGAGGGATGGGATTACGATAACGAAGATCCCAGTTTGAACTATGTTTTTTATTGTTTTCTTCTATGAACAAGTTTTGAAAAAGATACGAGGGTCATAATGGTCACGAGGGGTGAAATAAATGAGGTACAAGGGGTTTCAAGAGCCACAAAAGAAAAAAAAAAGTCCCAACTATTCACTTACGCCCTGGCGGATGAGTCCGAGACCTATCCGAGAGTAGCTCCGACACTCGGAATAGACACTCATTCGACTCTCGGATTTTCGGAGGTTAGGGCGCCAAACTCCAGTAAAGACTCTCGTCCGAGAGTGCATCCGAGAGTTATTTATGCCTTCACAAATCAATTTGTTTATTAATTGAGGATGCATTAGATAAGTTGAAAATCCTTTGTGGACCCAATGTAGGTAGAAAGGGTAATTGAGGGTCCCTTAAACATTGCTGAAAGCAGTCTCGGATCAAGTCTCGGACGAGAGTAGAGATACGAGAGTGGTTAAGTAATTGGCAAATTAATTATTTAATCATTTCCGATTAGTTAGA